GAGACATTGTTGTATTTTAATTTTGTATTTGTAAATTCTGTACATTTAATAAAGTTATTGTTAATTATCTATTGGTTTGATGTAAGTGGCTATTGTTCAGGACGAACAATACTAAGGAAGGAGCAGTGTTACGATAGCAGAAGTCACGTGATGCTTGGAGGATGTGTGGTGAATTTCTCAAATAATCGGGGAACTCCGCAAATGTTGGAGATGCTTCTTTGTTACTATATAAGCCTGGCAGAGAAAAGCCAGGAAGCTAAGTGAATATTAGTTACGGTGAGTTTCGGGTAATTTATGATTCTGTTTCGAGCTAGTTATTGAGATTGTGAATTGCTGTGATTTACTGAGTGTATTATAAAAGTTGTTAAGTTTAAAGTAACGAGAAACGTACTGACTGTGGAACTTTTGTGTACTAAAAGTTTGTATCGAGAAAAAATAAACTGGTTTAATCAAGAAAGGACTTGTATCGTGAAGTTCCTCAGAAAGAATATCTACCGGATATTAACAAACAAGCAGATACGTAACATTATTTTATAATTAAAACATATCTTTTTTATAAGTATTTAACATAATATATGGAAAAATTTACCCCTGATGAAAAGAAGTGTAAAGATAAAAGTTTAAAACTCACCCTTTGTTTTTAAGGAATTCTTCAATTGCCCTCTTAAGCTCCCATAAGGTATTGGCCTCCATTAATGTAAATGGCATCTCATACCACAAGGTGATCCCCCCTGTTAAAAAAATAAAACTGTCTTAACTGGAGTGTAGCATGTTTATACCAAATTATAAACTTATGTTTTCTTGGCCTGTTATTATCTTCATGATACAGCACAAAGAAATCATTGGCCTTTACTCTATTGATTTGCAGAATAATACTGTAAATTCCAATAAGATCACTCTTCTTACATTCTTTTCTCAAGGAAAAAATAAGTTAAGAGATCTTAATCTCTCACAGGGCAACCCTTCCATCCCTGAAATCATCTTGATAGCCCTCTTCCAAACCATTTCCAATAGGGCAATATTCTTAGACAAGAAAATCAAACTCTTACACAATATTTAGGTGAAATCTAATCAGTGATTTGTATAAAGAGTGAATTTCCTTTATTGATATGTTATCACTTTGACTATAAATACATCATAACATTGTACTGGATATACTATTAGCAACAGAGCTCTGTTTAAAAAATATCAACTTAAGCATCCACTAAACTTTGGACATTATATTTTAAAGCTTGGATTAGAGGATCATAATCCACCATAACAATGGTGTCCATTTGAAAAAACATTTTCTTTGTAGTGTCAGATTATCATCTCTAATCCCAAAGTAAAAAAATAAGTACCAGATTTTGTAACATGTAGAATGCTGTTTGCAAAATTAAAACAAAATTGTTTTGAATAAAACATTCCGATACAGTACATTACCTCCACTCACATTAATAGCTATTTTGGTTTAGTGCTGCCCTCTATATAAAAACAATATTTTGTGCATGCCACAAACCTTGAAGCTCCCACTTATAGAATTGACTGATTCCAATGCATCTTGCATGCAAGTCATCATGTGACAACCCTCCACCAATAAGAGTGCAACATACTCTCTTGACGCATGTGACTCCCTCTATTCAATTCTACCAAACTATCACTTCTCACTTGGCAGTACTTGAGATGTAACACATAGTTTGTACTCTTTTCAAATGTTTTATTTTATTTCAGTATCTTTCTATTAATTCCTCTCAACTAATTTACTCTTTATTATACAGTTATGATACTTATAATTATTTTATGTTTCTACCTGGTTACGGAACTTATTACTTCCTTACAAAAACTTTTTATTTATTTTTTGTCAGCACAGTTGTGTTTAGTTATTCATTTTGCATTATGAATTCTACGTTACCACTTCAAAGGTTACATGTTCTACCAGCATATTTATACTGTTTTCAGATTGTGATACTCTGCAGGAAACTACTGGCTTTACTTCATCGGGAGATTGAGTGTTCAATAAGCTGACCTTCGTCAGGCCTTGCCTAGAGTTTGGGGGGTTCACACATTTTGAAATACAGTCTGCCGAATTTGGAAAGATAAAATGTTATACTGTTTTGGTTTTTCAATAATTTTACTATTATTATTGTTATTTGTAGTTATTTGAGTTATATAATGTAAGTTACGTTAGATTGGTCAATACTCGTATTCCAGTTCAGGTTAGACATTAGGCTTAGTTGTATCTTTTCTCTTATACCATTCACTTAAGCTTATCAGGGGTCTTTGTTATTTTAAAATTACATGTAATTCATTTTATTGATATATCAATCATTCATTTAACTATACACCTGGAAAAAAGTTAAGCACCCCCGTGTTTTTTTCAAGTGATTCAGATTCTACGTTCTTGTGACTGATTATAAATTACCATTCAATCTAAACGTGTTTATCAAATGAAATTATGCATTATTGGGCACAAGAAAAC